AACAAAAGTTGCACGCATGAATCTTAGAAAAATCCATTTAATTTTTACGTGAGGGAGTTGCCAAAAAAGGTTATTTTATATTTTTCTATTGATGTTAAACCTTCAATTATCAAATTTCCATGTATTATTTATATCTCTATACGAGAATTTGGAGAATTACTAGTCTTATGCATACTAACAACAAACAAACATTTTGTACTTTGTGTAGGTGGAATTCCTTCATTTATTTGAAACATGTCTTCTTTGAAGGAGGTTGAGCTTGGCACGAATCATTTAAATGGTAATTTACCAAAAGATTTGTGCCATCAACTCCCTTTACTTGAAATCTTCGATGTTGATAGTAATTAATTAGAGGGAAGCATTCCAAAATTAATAAGTAATTACACATCTTTAAAGGAATTGTATTTAGGTGATAACTCATTTACTATTATGTATAATGTGCTTATATTTACGTTTCCATTTTTTTAATCTCTTTTTTGAATGAAGTAAATCTAAAATAGGATTTTGTTTATCATCATTTCAACCTTAATTTCTTGTTCATTCATGCATATTGAAATGCTAAAATTCCATTACTTTTGTTGTAAAATTTTATGCGCCTCCTAATAAGTTTAATTTTATATTTGTCCTTTTAAGAAGACATTCTTTATCTGTTTTAACTTATTTCTTTTTAATCTTTTCAAATTTCTTAATCTTGCAAATTCATTAAATCTTCTGTGGTTGAAGCGAGTATTTACTTAAAATTATTTTTGTTATAATCAACATAAGTTTTAGACTTATTCTTAAACATGCTAGATTTATTAATATTTGATAATTTTGTATGATAAAGTAAGTTTTATATTAAAATAAATTAAAATACAGACAAGTTTGGAGTTCTATTTTTCTTATTCATTATATATAAACAAAAAAATATTTAAATACGTTTGCTAAAACTAATGAACCAGAATATTTGCTGTTTTCAATAGCTGGAAAAATAATTAGATTGTTTCACTTTACTTCATTTAGGTTTAAAGTGGAATAGTTCCACACGTTCAATTCTGTACAAAATTAATAAAACTATTAAAACTGAAGTTTTTCTTATTATAATTTTTGTACAATTATTTAGTTTGAAATTTATAATACAATTTACTGTAATTCCCATCGGACTGCTCTTCTTTCCTCACCGACATCTTGCTCCTCTTCTTTCCTCCTCATCAAATTGCTCCCTCACCATCAGACTGCTCTCCTTGCTATCAACCTTCTCCTCTACTCGTCGAACCTCGCCATTCCTGCTTGTCTCCTCACCACCGTGAATCTATTGTAATTCCCACCGTTGCTTCACGTTCCTCTGCCTCTTTCTTTTATCAGTGCTAGCGTGGTGTTCATGGATTCTGACTGTTAGCTCTCTTCCTTCTCTATACTTGCCATGAGTTGGGTTGCGTCGAGCATCCTTCCTCCTCCTCCATGTCCTATCTGCAATTTCTTCTTCTCCCTGTTTCTGTAGTTGCAGATTGGAGCTGCTGTGCGTGAGGCATAGATGATGGTGGAATCCGAGAAAGCATAAATTGAAGATTAGGAAACCATTAAGGTAAGTAATTTTGCCTTAAGCATTCGATTATTATAAAATAGAAATTAGTTTCAAGTGATGTTCTGTGTCAGAGTTTGATTTTGATTGTATGAGGAGTGAGGTTTGGGAAGCTTGGAAAAATGTAAGTATTGAAATGGATATTTGGTAAGAGATTTGCAGAGGAAGGACCTTTGTAATTATAGTGTGAATGGGGTTGCCCATGAGGTGTTTGCTAAAATGTGTGAAAGAGGAAGTAAGTTGAAGTAGACTAATCAATTATATTAATTTTATTAATAATTAAAACTTGGATTTAGGTTTTGCAATCTCTATGTTGAAAACTTACAAAGGTGTAAATATTGCTTGAATATATATCCATTGTGGAGGAAAGTTTGGGTTACTAAATTGAACTTCACACATGTTTAAATAGAAAGAATGGTAGATTTTAGGTTAATGTTGAGGCCAATGGTTAGTTATGATGATATGTTAAAGATGAAGTTCAATGTTGCCTTGTACATGGAGAAAGTGAATGTTAAACTATTCTCTTTCAAAGTTTGTCATTCATTGAGAGTGGAAATGTATCTAGTGAGTAGTTGAAGTTTGACCACAAATAATTTAAGAGGTTTGTGCTAATGAATGTATTGTTGGAGGAGATAATTAAATAAGTATTTTTCTATGTGAAAAACTTATATATCTAGCCTTATATACTTCATGTGATTGTTTCCCATTAATTAAGACATGGGTATCTATTATAGATTATTTATTCTGTAATAAATTCTTGTTATTAATATTATTAACATATTAAAATTCACATGTCTTGATTTGATTGGATGAAAGTATATTAAGTGTATAAGGGTAAGTATATAAGTCTTTCCCTTTTTCTATGACTTTCTTAGGTCCTTCAAGAAGCATGGATTGGATTGTGTGTTACTCATTTGTGAATTTAAATTAAATATTGTAAAGGAATTTATCTATGTTATTGAGAGATTAATTGGATTCTTGAGAATTTACATTTGATAATTTTATAAATTCTTGTGTTGTCTTGTGATTTAACTTTGGGATGCACATTAGTTGTTCGATGTAATGCATGATAAAAGAACTATAGAACAATGGAGTGAATACTTTGTCTTCAGAATCAAGATCTTCACTACTAGAAAAATGCAAATTAGCAAGGAAATTTAGCAAGGGATCATCTATTCCTCTCTAAAATACCAAATTAGGGAGAAAATTAGCGAGAGATATTATTTCGTAGCTTGATTTAAAATTAGCGAGGAAATTAGTGAGGGATTATTAATCCGAGGGATTTAGCGAGAGATTCTATCCCTAGCTAATTACTACAAAAAAAATTAACTTTTGATAATAACTTTTAATTATACATTTAATATTTTCATTTAAAAAATAATAATAATTTAAAAATTAACTAAAATATTCATAATAAAATTATTTAATATTTTATTTATTTTAAGTTGATTTTCATTAACAAAATAATATTTTATTAAAAATTATAATATAAAGAATAATTTAATAAAACTATAACTATTTTAACATTATTAATAATTAAAAATAAAATTTAATATGTAATGTGTGTATTTTTATAATATATTATTTGATACTTTATGTAGTTAATAATATATATACATATTTAATTTCTCAAATAATAATTGCAAGTGTCTTTCTATTCACTGACAAAGAAGGAGAGCATTAAAGCTTGGAAGGTATGAGGTCAAGGGTTCAACCTTGACTTTGGCATAAAACATAATGAATATATGATATGGTTAGGAGCAAGTAACATAGCGCAAGGTAAACAATAACGTGTTATGAGTTGCCGCACCATGTGGTGGGGTGATAGGGTGCGAGTTGGTAGGTGATATGGTGGTTGACAAAGTATGAGGTTGTTGATAACATATTACAAGTTGACATCATACATGGTAGGTGATGTGGTATAGTTATTTTTAATATAAGCATATTTAGTGAGGAATTAGTGAGGGACTAATTCCTCACTAAAGTTATCAAATTTTGAATAGTATTAGGGATTTGAATATTATTAAGGAGGGATAGCAAGAAATTTAGTCCCTAGCTAATTTTAGTGAGGATTGAATCCCTCGCTAAATCTCTCACTAATTAGCAAGGAAAATACATTTTTCACTAAATTTAGCGAGCCTTTTTTTAGCTACGAATTTAGCGAGGGATAAAATTTGTAGCTAAAATATACTTTAGCTACGAAAAATGACATTTAGTGAGAGATTTGTCCCTCACTAAATTCTATTTTTCGAGTAGTGCTTTTATATATATTCTACCAAACTAATTGAGAATTGCATAGTGTAACACTTGCCCCAAATGTTATCCAAAAATCACATAATTCAAATAAACTAAGTGTGGTTAAAGAGTTGATCCTCTAACCAACTTAAGAAATAAATCATTTAAACCTTAAAAAAATTATAGGTTCTACCTATAATGCACAGAAGCAAGCTAGGCAAAAGTGGAATAAAAAGATGCTGTCATGACAGCATTAGATAACCTTCCTGGGTCAACTTTCGGGAGGCGCTGTTCCACCATCCGACCACCAATTAAAGTGATTTTAAAAGCTTACATGTCACATTCAAAGGATACTATAAGTGTACCAAATTTTAAAAAGATCCAACGGTTGGATTAAAAATTAAACATGTTAAAAGATTGGTCAATTTTTGCTATTCGGGGTGCCCATTTTATCATCTGAACTCCGATCGGAGCGATTCAAAGCCCACATGTCACTTTTAAATATATTTATTAGGATACCAAATTTAAAAAGATCCAATGGACGGGTTGAATTTTGTACATGTTGTAACATTATCAATTTTGCTGTCATGACAGATCCTCCGGACTAAATTCTGGAGTATTCTGGAGTGCGCTGTTTTCTCTTTCCTCCGTCCATATCCGATCGATATGATTCCAAAGCTCACACAAACCTTATAAAATATTTTACTTGTGACCCAATTTTAGAGAAATCCAATGGTCAGATTAAGATTTGGACACCCGGATGCAAAAGTGCAGTTCTTTTGGTAAAAATTATTTTCAAAATTATCCAAATCTCATCCTAATGATCACAAACTTATGGGAACACTTTAGACATGTCAAATAGGACTAAAAAACACCTGATAGAATATTTAAATGATAGAAAAACCATTTATACCAACATTTGACCACCCGGGTGGTCATTTTCCAAAATGGATCCTAAACTCCCAAAATGTACAAATCACACAAGAGTGGCCAAAAACTATTCCAAATACCATATATACATATGAATACACATGCTAAACATTTTTACTTGGCTCAAAAATCTCTGTGGGGCCCACGCACCCACTCTCTCTATCCAAGGTATATGTTTGCCCATAGCACACCATTTGCAATACAACCACTTTGCATTTACTTATGGAATCACATATATATAAAAATAAATATTTTTTTATAGTGAAAACTTGGTCTACTAAATAAATCCATCAAAACCACACACTATAACCAAGTTTTCTAGCCACAAGTCTACAAGCAAACAAAAATTCATATACAAGCCATACAATCCACACATACTCATGCACATATACATAATCATATCCTACTGGCACCCTAATCTAAATACATTACAATAGATTTTCTCAAAAGAAAGGGGTTGTAGTTCTTTACAATTCACAAATAACCCCTAGCTCTGCTCCTTTCCCCATTCTCCACTAATTCCTTTGCCGGACCTAAAATATTGAAAAGAAAGGGTGAGACAACCTACAGTCTCAGTAACAAGAAATCTACATTGATTATTACAAAGTAAGTCATAAATCGAATAAACGAATAATAAATTCAACATAGTATATAATTTAGCCATTTTAAAATGCATGAATGCATGACGTAGGCCGGATATGGCCTTTCATGACCAATATAATGCCCTTGGCACTTTTTAAACTCGCAATAAACCTAATACCTACTTGTATTTCCATAGGCACAAAACATAAATCTAAGGCATGATCTAATCTACTGAACCGCCTATATACCCCTTCGACGTGAATCCTGAGCAGTCAAAGCTAACTCTCTCCCAAAGCTAGCCCGACTTACTCTCCATATGAGGGCTACCTTGACCTAGGCACTCAACCTCACACTTTACATGTCGGATTCCCTCTCCCACTGAGAGGTGTCGAATACTCAATACACTAACCACTTTAGTGCACTGAGCCCCAATACGTAAAGCAACACTGAGTACTGGCAGTATGCCACAGAATTCAAAAGTTCACACCTTCTCATTGGTGAACTTCCACCGACATTATGTCTTTTATTCGTGTCTACCTTTCCCGAGTATTGACCACTTCAACCCTCAAGGTAGTAATAACACTCATAATTCATCCCTTAAGCGATTTCTTAGCCTATCTAAGGTACCAAACCTAGAGTACAACTACTTTATTTTTCATTTTTTTTTATGATGATAATGCATGCTAATAATCTTATTTCCATAAGTAACATCATTATTAAATAGATAGTAACATAGTTGCATTATTATTAAAGCATACCCCCCATATACCCTTCTAAAACACATTTTATTTGCATTCAATTGTTTAAAACATGTAATGCATGCTAGATAATATTATCTACTCAAAATAGCTAAACAAAGTAATAAGAAAATATAAAATTCCCTTGTTACCCCCACCTCAACCCTTTGGTAGCAAAAGGGTTCCTCTTGTACAAAATAAGACTTAGCTTATTCCTTAACTTCTCAATAAGTTCCACCAACAATTCCCTACACATATAAGTGATCCATATCACTTATCATGAAAAATAGCATTAATGAAGACTAAACTCATACCACACAACTTGGATCTATGAGCCACAATCCATCCCAATGGTCCATGCATTAAACCAACTATTCTCATAATACCACTTAACCACAAAAACCCTTTATTAGCCATCACTAGGCTAAATTTCCAATTCATATAATTTTTAATCAATTAAAAACCTTCACTTAGTGTCACCAACTTTCACCATTAGCCCTTATAATGAAATCAAACCTTAATTTAAATCTTATTGGGCTCAATAGTGAAATTATAACTAAATCAATAGGCTTAAAACTATTGAGGAGCAAAACCCAATCTCTCAGGGTTTAATTTGTGCCCAAAACACTTCTTTTCATCCAATTATCCACTCAAAATATTATATCACTATATAGAAACTCAAAACATCCTCCCTAGGATCCAAAGAAACAAAAGCTTACAAGAATAAAGCATTTGGATCAAATTTAGAATTCTCTCTTCCAAAAATTAAAGAAAATAAAGAGGGAGGAAAGGATTGCAGTGGGAGTTTACCTATCGCTAGCCGAGCTTGCAACGACCACGCAAAGCCTCCTAGATTCGAGCCTAACTCCGTCTCTTTCTCCTCTTCTTCTTCCTCTCTCTCTCTCATGCGTTCGTTTTCTTTCTTTGTTTAATTTCGTTCCTACACTCATTCTGGCTCTTAAATTGCTGGTATTAGACTTTGGGGAAATTACAATAAAGGGCCCAATAACTTTGGTAATTTTTTCCATAGTTAAAAAATCAAATAAAACCAAACTTTTGCTGAAAAAAATTCAAACTCTAAACCTCTATCAAATTATTTTAAATTTTAATTTAATTATAGATATTTTATTTTATTTTTTTAAAATAAATCGGAGTCTTAAAATTTTTTAGGATGTTACACATAGCTAATGAATTATTGGAGTTATTATTATCAGATTTAACAAAATTTAGAAGAAATCATGGTTCAAGACAGTTGAATGAAGAACAAATAAAGTTTTGGAAAATCTTACAGATATTTAGATAAAGCATACATAGATGGAGTTGCAGCATGGAAAGTTTAGTATTATTAGCTTGTTAATTTTTTTGTTTAGGTAATTAGTGGCACTATCAAAATATAAGTGAGAAGCTCAAAAAGGAGCAAACTGTAAAGATACTTAGAAATGTGTAAGGTGAGTGGGTAGCGTCTTGAATGAATTTATAATTAGTGTTTATAAAATTCCTTACTTAAATTTTTATATTATTCCTTTATAATTTATATAAACATTCTTGTCATTCTATTTTTTTTATAATAATTATTTGATTAATGATGATATCTTGATTTTACTGATGATTTATGTTATTGATAAGTAGTTGTTAAAGTTGATATACGACAAACGATGTTACTTAAAAAAAACTTAATTGTTTAACTCTATATTAATATGCAAACCTTTAATACAACAACTTGTGCATAGAGGAAATAAAAATGAGTATGGGAATGAAAAATGACAACCGAATCATATATTTTAAAAGTGTAATTTTGATATTGTTCCTTTTCAACTCTATGCATGCTTGATTTTAATTATGAGGACTAAGTTTAAAATATTAGATGATAATTAGCCCTTGACATGCCATAGTATACCTAGCTAGTAAGGTGTCTTAGAGGTGTTAGCCCCTTGCGACGGGCCAATGCACTTGAAATGGAGGGATGATTATTCATGAACATTGTACTAAGTTTGTTTTTATAGGCTTCATGCTTGCGCTTATTCGTGGCTGTTACAGTGCTTGTTTCATGGCTTTAAACCACACTTGTTGTTACTTACCCTCATTATTATGTGTCCCTACTTGTTGGTTACTTACCCTTGTGGATTTTATATCCATGCTTGTTATTTGTTCTGATAAAATCCTGCTAAAAGGTGAATTTTTTGAAAACTTATTATTTTTAAATTCATTTAGTTAAACAAATTATTGTTTGATCGTAAATGATTTTATATAGTAATTTTCTCGCTAGTTTGGGTTTAAAAATTTATTTTTATATTAGTTATTTACAAACATTTTTCTTCTTGATTATATCATGATTTGAATTCTTTTTATATATTTTTATAAGTTGTACGATTCTTGATAACCTATAAAATTTCAAGATTATTAGTTTATTTCACAGTTATATTGTTGAGCAACTATGTCTTTTATTGTTTGTTAAAACATGTGTTTTAATGTTCCATTGATTTGTTTTAAACTAAATTTTATTAATTAATTAGTACTTTTATATATTTTATCTATAATTTTATTAGGATGCTACTCACCAGAAATTTTCTTTGGTTTTTAGATAATGTAGTTGACACTGCACTTTGCTAATCATTGATGAGCTTTATTGCTTTTTGAAAGTGGAAGCATGCTTTAATCATATATTTTAATGTAAATATTCATTATAATATATATGGCAGTTAGTGCTCCACATATACCCTAGTTAGGTTCTACTCCTATTTATTACCATGTAATCTGCAATGTGGAGCTAAGCTTTTTTTTTTGGATTGGTTGATAGGTTTATGACTATAAAAATTTTGAGATGCCCTAATTACAAGGGAGACTCTGCTGAAATTTTTGCAAAATGTTTAAGATTTTATAAACTTTATAATTATATATAAATATATATTATAGTTTTTATTGGTCAGTATAATTTATCTATTACTATTATAGCTTAATATTTGGATAATTAAGGTTTAAGGAATAGAGTTTATCTCATATTCCTGCCAATCACGCCATTAGTACTTACTGCGGGTGTGGCAGTGCATTAGCACCCTGGAAAGCATGCTATAAAAAAACTAATCTATATGAAGATCAAACAACACTACTTTCTACTTATAGAGATTTTTTTAGGGTAACGTGGAACTATAGAGATATATTGCTAGTACGAAATGGTCTTCATGCATTCCTCATAAAAAAAATAAAGGTAAGCTAAAGAAACTAAAGGCTAATTTCTTTTTATTTAACTAAACAACTACTATCTATGAAGGTGTATGTTGAACATATATAACCAAAGATGGAGCAAACATCAGCTTCACAGCTTCATGTCTTTTTATTTTTGATTAAACATGCAAGTGAGAGACCAATAAGGAGAGGATGGTAAATTGCTTGAACTCTTAGAGAGGAGGGGCAAGCTATTCTTTCTCTATAAAAGGTGTTGTTGATGCATTTCAAACACTAAAGTCTCAGCTTCCACCATGCTTCATAACTTTTTTTTCCTGAAACCTATATAATCTACCTTCCCTCAGAGTCTCTAAACATAGGAGTGCTATATAATACTTTGTAACATGGATGTTTTTCAAAGCTTCAACTCAATAAGTTTATCTATCCAAACCAATGCAAGCCACTAAAAATGCTAAATGATAATATTGAAATTGACCTAATAAAGCCTCAAGCAACTAATCCCATTTCGTTGCTTGCCGAGATGTTAGCAGCTTTAAAGTCATTAATCATAACATCCCACCCCAACCTATCTCTTAACTCGAAAACCTTGCTTTTGAGTTCTTTGCGCTTCCTTAATCTAGAAAAAATGTCCTCCTCGCTCCTTTTTGTATGGCAATAATAAAATTGGTGACCATAGTGATATCGGTTGGATTGATTATCTTTATAGTCCTATCTCTCTCCATTTCCTTTAAAAACCAAATTCTTTGGGGTATAATGCTTGTGTTTTCAATCTCTCCTTTTATCTTAATATGAACAAACATGACTCGAAATATTTCTAAAGCAAATAAGATAGGTTATGAAGTTTACGAATGATGGGTAAAGGCTATGGACCAAACCAAGGAATGCCCTCAACAAGCTTCTGCATGATAAGAGAAATAATTTTTTTCCACATAATTGAATTTATACAAAAAAAAAATTAATAAAGATTGCATAGAGACTGCACAAAATTGATAGAAATTGCACTAGAAGTGCACAAAAAATGCAAAGAAATATATACATATATTATATTATATTTTCAATTATTAATATAATAAAAAATTACTTATATGACTATTTATATTATATTTTTTTAATAAAATATTACTTTTTTTACCAACAAATATTATTTTGCTAGGAAAATGAACTAAAAATGAAACAAAAAATATTTTCTTACAAAAATTTTAAATAATTTGTGAATTTTACTTTTTATTTTAAATGACAATAATTAAGTATATAATTTAATTATAAATATGTATTATTTTAGTTTTATGTTAAATATCTTTTACTTCTATCTTCTTCATATTTCTCAAAGATTAATAAATAAGTTATATTAATTTTTATCTTCTCCTAAAATGCTTAAATGTTTCCCCTTCTTTCCTTAAAAAAATTTTATGTACAATTTTTAAAACTATCTAAATAAGTATTGTAATAAAAAGAATTACTTTTAACCACATAAATTTTGGTAATAGTCATTTTGAACAATTATTAAATTTAATGAATACTAGTAAGTTTTACAATATAAAAATCACAAGAATCTCATATATGATCAATCGAACAAACCTTAATCATTATCTACTTCATTAAAACAAGGTGGATTTGAATGACTTTTTTGTATTACACATAATAACAATTTGTTATAAAAATTTTATTAGTAACTTTTTTTTGACAATGGAAACCTAAACACTATGTAAAATTACATAACATCCTTATCCATTGTTCATCGATCGAGTAGAGCTTAACATTGAATGGAGGAAGCATGGATGCTAAAGGTGCACAAAGTTGCAAGAGAGAAGAGAGGCTTGAAATGTTAAAGGTAGAGCTACACGAGAGAAATAATGAAGGAGTAGTGAAGGAGCACAGGGGGTGGGTGGACACTTAAAATGGTTAGCCAACCAATTGTGGGGTTGCCTATTGTTTAGTTCTTTAACTCTGATCCTAAACTCTTCTAGACCATCCTGAATTTGTTATTCTATTGAGCAAATATTGAAATATTCAATAAAGACATAAATTTTTATTGATTGCATTACCTAGATTGACCTTCGTTTATTTTGTAAAATTTGTATTGATCATAGAATATAAAAATTTTAGTAATGATACAATTAGGTAAAAGGCTTTTGGAAAATTAATATAGAAATAATAAATTTTAATTTATTTTTAGGAGGGCTTTATCAAAATGAATAGCAAGCATGTACAAATAGTCCATAAAGGTAAATAATCAATCAAGCGTGGACACACATTTATAGGGTAAATAACCAATCAAGCATAAACATGCACTCTACGAAGGAAATAATCAATCAAGTGTGGACATACAGTCCATGATAGTAAATAACCAATCAAGCGGGGTTAAAAGCCATGTAACAAGTGTGGTAGAGCCACAATCAAGCACATGTATGAGGCTTATGAAAACAAGCATAGTTGTAATGCTAATGAATAACCATTTCTCCATTCCAAGTGTGTTGGCAGTCACATAAGGCTAAGCTAGCACCTCTAATGCATCCTACTAGTTAGGTGTACCAGGATACGCCTAAGGGGCTAATAGAATTGCCCAAACAAACAAATAAATCATAATTCTAAAATTATTTACCAAATAATTTTTCAAGCACTTAATTGCATTTAAATTTAATCGAACAAGATTAAAGATAATATTCTAAAAAATTATGTTTCTAGTTCATTTGAGTTAGTTAAATCATTTGCAAATCTCAACCTATTCTCACATATTCTTGGGGGCCCATTTTTAACTATAAATCATAATAAATCATATTAATCATTCTTAAGCTTTCTCTGGATTCAATAAAATACAATACAAGTGTCCTATATAAATCCTTTATCCTCTGTTATTATCTTAAATTTAAATTAATAATTTAAGCCACTTCTTTACACATATATTTCGCTAACTAAATTATATCAATTTGGGCAACATTATTCCACAAACATATTAAGTACATCCAAAGTGAACTCAAATAATCACCAAACAATGTAATCGACTTTCAACATTAATCTAAAATCAACATTTAGCTTATCACCACTAAAATCATACACAAACCTCAACCAAAATTACAACTCAAATTCAAAAAATATCATGACATTACTAAGAGGAGCAGAGACGCGTCTGCGGTGAGGGAAGAAGAGAGTAAATCATGCTGCTATGACTAGGAACTTACCTCAACTAAATTTATTGTAACTTCAGCCACACTTCAATTCACGGATACCACCGAAGAAGAGGAGAATAACTTTGATTTTTGTTACTTGAATTAGCAGGAAAAGAAACAAAAATCTCAGACTCACAACAAGAAAGGACTGAACTTACACCATACACATTAAACTGTCAGCTGAGAAGGAGAGAAAATTAAAGCTTACTCATACATACAGGCCCTACACACCGTGGGTGAAACTGAAAAGATCAGAAACGAAACAGGGGTGGCAGACAAGGAAGGAATCCGGCAATGACAGCGCCCCCTAATGACAGAACGTGATGAGGATTAAAGACACAGCTGACGGCGAGGAAGAGTTCGACGGTGAAGCAAGGAAAATGATGAGAAGAGCTGGAGAAGTGGACCAATGGTGAAGAGCCAGAGGAGTACGATGGCGGCGCTGAATAGAAGGAAAGAATAAGATGCTCTGTTTCAGCCACTGATATTCGAATAAAAGGACCAAATTTCTGAATAAAAAACTAATTTGAGAAAAGTACTGTAATGTCTTTCTTTTTATGACCTAAAAGTAAAAACTTGGGTATTTTGAAAACTTTTTTATAAATTAAAACAAAATAAAATTAATTTTTTTCAGTAAGATTCAAACTTTGAACCTTCAAATAAGTTATTAATATAAATTTCATCAGGCCACTACTTCTCATTTGTCAATAACTAAAATAAATAAATTAAATATTAATTAGATGAAAAATTTTATTTATTTTAAAATTTTGGATCATTACATCACCCTCTTTTATCACCCACTGTTACAAATTTTTATGATTTCATCATCAACTTGATTCCTTCCAATATCTTAAATCTAAAGTTCTAGATCCAATTAACTTCATATTATCTCTTCAAATTTGCACCCAATCTCTCACTGGGCTAGGTGATTGTCATATTTCTTTCTCTCTTTCTTCCTCATCCTCTTCCCTTGATTCTTTTTATATCAATCCAAATTTAAATCCAATCCATATCTATCGTATCACAAAATTGTCCACCCTCAAGTATATAGAGGGAGATATTTATTGAGTAAATTGAGACAAAAAAAGAAGAGGAAATTTAGGAAGTTTCGAGAGATGTCCTTTTTTCCCCCCTTATCCTCTCAGGTCCGTCTAGCTTGAATGAAAATGGGGGAAGCAGAGTTTGTGTGTGGAAACTGGAAAGAAAAAAGGGTCATATTAAATAAATGAATTAATAAGAGGGGTTTATATTTTAGTATTAGAGAAGTATTAAAGAGGGAAAATTTCATTGTAGTGCCATATTGAAGCTCAAACTTTAGACTTGGTAGAAGACATAATATAATTAAGATACATAAACGATTAATAAGACAAGGCTTTTATATACAAGTGACAAGGTTTCAGTCATCAAAGCAGAAATGGATTTGATTTTACCCCCTAAAGCCCATAATTGACAACACTATCCCTGAGTGATCCCTACAAATATTACAATTGCTGCCACCACAATTTATTTTGTGTAGTCTACCAATGGGAGGTGCATACATGCCACTTGTGAAACATGATACATCTTCTACCTGCACATTAGCCTCCCAGAATTCAGTCACAGCGCATCTAGCTTTCATATAAGCTAGAATAGTATCCACCAAATATGTGCAATGTCAAAATCATTTTGGAAACTTATGTGTGGGCTCAAGTTAATTTTTTTTATTGGTTTTGTTAAACCAGGTTAACAGGTAGTTCCTAAAGCATTGAAGTCCAATTATGTTATGTGATCATATAGTTGATGGGCTAGACACGAGATATATTGAGTCTGATTAGTGAGTAAAGTGTGGGCCATTAAGCTTATTAAAACCTGTAGTGGCTGGGTCCAATAAGAATTATTAAATAGGCTAACTCATTTTATGATCACATAACATTGCCCATTTTCATTGTGTGCCGAAAAAATTGCAAAACCCTTGCCTTTTAGAAGTTTTGATCTGCATGCTATGGAGTTACATGACTCAATTGATTATATGGGTTTGCTCTCTCGAACATTATGTACATGTGTGTAATGTTTAATAGCTTTTCTTTAGTCACCCAATCCTCCATATCTGTGGAACCCGTGTAGGATGTAATTTTAATTTCTTAATTTGCTTCATCTATGAATTTCAATCTAATTTGATGCACAGTGCTTTGCTTCCGTGTGCATATATAAACATATTTAGTGTGTCTGATTGTGTGTATATGAATTTTCAATCTAACTATATTGGCCGAATCCTGAATGAGAGGAAGATGAATTTGGTTTTTTGATAATAAAATTTTTTGCTCATTTCTTTTTAAAATAAATGCCATGAACATGATGGAAATTCCCTCTTGATGATAAATATGCATTTGACAAACATGGTTATTGACATTGGAAAATTATAAAATTAAGAAAAAAGGTTTGAGGCGAGTAATTTTATAAATGAAAATTTTTGTATCAAGTTATACTCTCTATAAAACTATGTGATCACAAAGTTGAGGGGTTACTTTGATAAAACTAAAGTAGTATAAGTATTTGCATAAGTTTTGAAGTTGAAATGAACTTTATAATGTTTTTTATCATGAAATTTTGAAACATATTATTTGCCTAATATATTTTTATAAAGTTGTATTATTGGTGTCTCATACAATGGAATGACATATCTATGTAAGTTTCTTGCAATTGGATATAAGACACTTTATCAAATGAGGCAAATTGCAAATATTTTCCTTTAAACGCCAAGTGTATGTTGTGTTTTACATATATAAGCATAAAAGTTTATCATGGAAGCCTCACATTTGAAACTGTATTGTGATGAAATTAATTTGTATATTTCATCTATCACAACTTTGTAGATAAAGTATTTTGAAAAATGCTATCAATTTATTATTTAGAGAGTAATTCGTATAAATAAGTTTTTTTACTAATTACTTATGAAATAATAAATGGCATCAGAGCTTTGGTTGTGAATATTAATTTTAAAGTATCTATGTGATTAATTAAATATAATTGCTTTTACTTTTGGCATGCTCAATGCTCATATATTCCATCAGTTCTCCTTTTTCTTTTATTATTGAATTTGAGAATTGTTGACTGATTCCATTATCCTTTGCAAAGAATTTTATGCCTTTTAAGTATTGCTATAATCTCTCAAATTAGTTTAGGCATATGAATCTTTTTTTCCCCCAATTGATGTCTGTTGTTCTCCTCCTTGTTACTGACCTCACCGTCATCTGAGTTCGCCGGAAACAAGTTTGAATGGTCACCGTGAGTTATTGCCGCTGCAAAATCCTCGCTCACCGTGATTCAGGCTGTGATCTTTGTTGTCACCGTTGCTGACTGAGTCGCCGTTGTCGGTTACGTCGGACGGGGTTTCTGCTAGTGCATCATTGGGAACTGGCATCGTTAGATCACCGGAAGTCTCTGCTGGAGGTTCTGATTCACAGTGTCCATCACTCAGTAGCATAGCATCATGTCTCCTGTTTCTTGTTGCTGTGTTTGGTTGTTCAGTCACCTGAAAAATGATGATGTTTCTCATCGAAAATGCTCCCTCCAAGCTGATGCAGACGCGTCATCAAATGAAGGCCGTTACTCCATGGTCGCTAGCGTCATCTCCCCTGTTTCAGGTTCGTGGCGCCATCATAGTGACGTCCTCCCAAGGCCTCTTTTGTTTGCGAAAAAGAAAAACAGTATAAACAATTTCTGTTATTACCACACTTTTGCTAAAGGATATTTACCTTGCTTATTTTTCTTTCCATTTAACAAGCATTATTGCCCATTAGACATGAAAGTAATTAACTTGTGTATAAGTTATACTAGTTATAAGACCTTGACATGTTGAGGAGGTAAAAGTGTATGAAATCATTATTTAATTCATGATTTGTGTATTGTTCACAATTTGATTGCAACCAAGATTCATGATTTGATCCTTTTGGGGTAGATTCGATGCAATATATTATTCACCAATTAAATTTAATTTAATTTCCTGGTTAATGTTGTTCATTTATCAAAAGCATTGTAAACTGTCCAATTCTCCTATTGTTAGGAAATATATATATTTAATGGATTAAATTTAATTTTCTAGTCTAAAGAATTTTTTTGGTACACTGTTGCGAATGTTTATTACTATAGTGGTGCCTTCATCAAAATCTACTAAAACCGATTAGTTCCCTTTGTTAATAGGAAATAAGGAAATTTCACCCTGTTATTCAAGTCTGGGAATATTATTCTATGAACCATTTACTTTCCGTGTTGATGGAATTAGTGGAATTTATAATCACCTGCCCAAAGGGGGTAATTATATTTGTAATTCTCGTACTTCATGGAGCATCTTAGTGGAGGTATATGATAGAGAGGACCCATCTACTTAAAGGATGGTTTGTTAGAAATGGCAATACATATCCCAGAGGGTGTTGAGTGTTTTTAAACTTTTCGGCGTTTTTTTTTTTTGAAACTGTTCCAAAAAGAATAGTGTGAGTATGTTTGAGAAAATTTCAGGTGCTAAACTGTTTTTAGCAAGAATGCTTAAGTTAAATTTCACAAACTCAATGTATGCAAGAATGTCTAACATCAATTTTGAGGTATTTAGAAGTTTGGAATAAGAGCTTTTCTTGATACATCAAGTTTTAACACAAAAACAAAGCATAAGCTGGAGTTGTTGGAGATGTAAAGAGTTAAATGATAGAGAAGGTGCAAATTAAGAATTTATCTTAATTCAGCTCCAATCCTGTGCCTATGTTAAGTCTCCAAGCAGACTGCTTAATATTTCTTCACTATAATCCATAAGTTTGAGCTGAGTGCTTATAAGCCACTGCAACTTTCTCTTTATAAAAATTTCTTATCTCAATAGATACCTCACTTTTGAATGACTCTCCAAGAAATACCTCACCCTTATTTTTATAATGTGTGTATGAAAAAGAATTTCACTTAATAGAACTCTCTTTGAGAGTAAGATGAGGACAACAATTTCTATCATTGAAATATGTATGATATATAGATTTTGGCTCAAGAATAATGATTTTAATTCCTAAATAGTAGGGAGATGTTTAAGCTCACACAATTCATCTTTTTCAAACTATTCAAACTTGTTAAATGAGTTTGAAGTGTTATATTTATAATATATTGAGTAATATAGCTGTTAGAGACAAAAACTAGTCGTTTATGACTAGCAGGGACATTTTTAACTCATTAAGTTGGCTAATATGTTAAGTAGAGTGACAGCCAAAAATATGAAACTTTTCTTCCAAAATGCTAAGTTAATGTGTTAATTATGATGGCCAACACTTTAAGTACATGACAGAGGCAAAAACAAAGTGATTATCGCATTAGGAATAAATTGTTAGTGTGTTGTTGATTAAGTTTTAGCAGAGAACTTCTGATGACTATGACTCAATTTATTTTTCTTGAGGTATTTTCATCTTTTGTACCTCCTTTAGGCTTAAAAAATTACTTATCC